CGCCATGGCCGACAGGCGATCCCGGTCCAGGCTCAGGCGCAGCGGCCACCACAACGCGCGGGCGGCGGCGGCCCAGGTGCGCGGACGGATCTGGGAGGGCGGGCGAGAGGGAAGAAAAAAAAGAAGGGGGAAAGGAGAGTCGCTGTCGGAATCGGTCATTCCGCGGTACTCGCCCGGCGCCGCCCGCCCGGTCGCTCTCGGTTTGAGACAGAAATGAGGCCTCTGAAGCAGGAGCGGAAGCCGCTCTTTCACTCTTGTTCGCCTTTAATCGTGGGAAATGGGCAGAAAGCCCTGACTTTGCCGAGTAGCCCGCAGCTCGGCGGGTTTAGGTCGCGGCTGTGCTCTGGGGTCACCCAGGATTTCATCCATAGGAGAGTTTTATGCTGGAACCCATTGGATGGTAGCCCGAGCTGAATTGTCTCCTGTCCACACGGGAAGTGCCACCATTGTCAAAAAGTGTCACGTCAAAAAAAAACAACATGCATGTCAAAAATTGTCACGCGCAATTTCTCTTTGGAATTTGGAAAAAATTTCTGGCCAGCTTACTTCGCTTGTTATTAGAACAGAGCGAGTGATTAGGGTGGTGGGAGCTTTTGATGTTGGGATCTTTAATAATGAAAATACTAGCTTTGAATTGCTTATCTCCAAATTTCTCTTTAGACTGAATTAAGTGTAGAAAATAGGAGAAAATCTCTCAGAAGCACCCTTGCAAAGCAGAGACTGGCAGTGTTCCCTGATCTCAGAAATGGCACACCACGGCTTATGCTCAAGAGAGTCGTGCAGAACCGTAAGTATCTTCTTTCAAGAGAATTGAGAACAGAAATACAATGGTTTTGTAGAGTTGAGAAAACGGGATGTTCTTGGTAGCCCATTATCCTTTCCCTGTTAAATGGAACAGAAATCAGATTGCTGTGTGACTGATTTATGTAACAGAGGAGTCGCTGCAGGGCACCTGAATGCAGGATACAGCTGTCTGAGAGACCAGGCCTTGCACTGGTGAAATCATAGCTTTGAAGATCCTCTTCAAAACCCTCTTCACTTGGACTTTTTATCCTGGTGACTGAGCACATAATCCTGGTGCTGCCTTTGTAGGATCAAGTGTGTTATAGAGGCACATTCTTCTGCAGTGCAGGGAAATCCCCTGCTGCCATCTGTCCCTGCCAGGAGTAGAACCCAAATAGTTTTTACTAGGTCTTTATTTTAACCTGTTAGTAAATGTTCTTTACAGCCTATAGTGTAGATGTGACACCCTGCTGCATTTTGGTTCTCTTGCTGTCTTGAATTGTGGAAAGGAAATGTTCTGGTTTGTTGGCAGAGCCCCAAGTTTCACCACTGGCACCTCAGATATCTAGCCATGAAGACACACAAGAAGTTCATTCAGAAGTCCCATCTAAGAGGGTTTCCAGCATGTAAGTAGGGTTTATTGATAATTTACATTTTAATTTCACTGCCAGGTATAGCTGTGCTGTGACTGGGGAGCAGGACTTCTCTACTTGTGTTTTAGTGACCAGAATTGCATCTTTTCAGGGGGGATTATCAGAAATGCCTCTTCAACTTGGTTTGTTTTGGTAGGGGGGAATTGCAGCTACCAGATGTTGCTCCTGAGGGCAAATCTATCACTGTGTTCCACACGACAAAGAAGAGAAGGAAATTAAGCATTTCTGAATTTGAGAGAGCAGCAGAGAGACGACTTCCCCAGAACCAAGGTAATGCTGCAGTCAAAAATTACCTTGCTCAGTGCTGCATTTGCTGTCAGCTGGTTCTCACCTGCTCAGCTCAGTTGTCAAGAGCTGCCCAGCTGGGCAGTTGTAGGTTTGGAATCCAGATTGCAATGTCTCATACCCCATCCTATCAAATATAAAATAAACCTTTTTAAGCCAAGTTCTGGGCTCTGCCACTGCTATATATAATTTTTTGACTATTTTGCAATTTGGTGGTTTTTGAGTTTTGAAGTGTCTCCAGAGGAAGCAATCCCTGTCTTCTTCTCAGTTCTAGACACTTTCATATACAAGCAGCTGCATGCTTTCTCTTGCAGTTACATAAAACAAAGTTCTTTGTGAGCAGAATAAGCTTGAGTTACAGTTTCATCAAGAGTCTGTAGAATAGTTACCTGTGTTTCTAAAGCTCCAGATGTATTTGGGTTATGCTGCTGAAGGGTGGTTGTGACCAAGGCCTAACATGTTGTCATCAGTGTGGTAAAATTAAAATTACTAAATCTGACGGTTTATGCCATGTTAAATTTTCATTGAAATAACTATTGTCTCACCCTTTCAGAAACTGCTTATTAGATTTCCAGTATGCAATTCTGAAATGTAGGCAAGAAATAGTAAAGTGACCCTGTTATCTAATTCTTTTTGCATCAAAGTATGTTTGAGGATAGGAGCATGACTGGCTCTGAAGAGAGGAAGATCCTTTGGGATGTTCTTGTAGCCTGTTGTGTAAAGAGTAATTTCTCAGCTAATGTGCCATCACCTTTTTCTAGCTCCATCAACGTTGGACAGCACAATTACAGCTCGGTGAGTTTAACCTAAAATGCATTAACTTCTGTCAGTCCTAGGTATGATCACATCTGAAGGGGTGAAGAGCAGTGCAGATACCTGGTTCATGTAAAGACCTGTGTTAGTGTTAGCAATAGCACAGCCATCTGCCCCTCTGCTGTTGGACTTTGAAGGTGTTGCACCCCACACTTTTTGGTTCTCAGAAACTGTGGCTCTGCACAGTATGCCAGGGTTGGTCTAGCTTGTATTGCTCCTCTTGCTCCTCTTTTTACTTGCTAGGATCATTCCTTTTTTCCTTTCATTCTCATGCTTCCAACAGTAAATAAGTACAGAATTAGAATATTATCCCTGCCTGTTAATAGTTTCATCACATCCATTGCATCTATTGCAGTAGATAATACTGCATATTTGCAGTATTTTCTGGACTTTAAAAGCTTTTAAGTGAGTCAAAGAACTTACTTTCCAGTGTTGCCATGTACTTTGCAAACGACCCTGGCCAAAGTCAGCACATTATTTCACCTTTCTCATTGCAGCTCTTGCCTGGGGCACCACACAAGATGCTTTTTGGGGTAGCATTCTGTGCTTCTGTCTTTGAACCCTCTGAACCCCCTTTTTAATTTGGTTGCCTGGAGAGAGGGACAGGAAGCCATTGAGCATGGTCAGTCTTCAGGGTGCAAAACACCTACAATGAGAAACATATTTTCCTATGCTTCAGGTGTTGCTGTCAGCTCTCATCTTAAAACAGTCACAGTGTGTTGGTACTCAGCTGTACTTTGCTGAGAGTATTGATACTAAGTAGATTCTTAAACTTGTTGGGAAGTCCTCCTACCACCCCATTGTCATCTAGAGCATGTCTTTACTCTCAAACATTTGTTTGAGATTTGATTTTTTAAATTTCTGACCCTTTTGTCTGCTGTAGTGTTGCAGTGTCTCAGGGAGGCTGTAAAAAAGTCTGCTTCCTCATCTCTCTGATACATATCCTGATGTTGGGTGATAGTATGAAAATAAACAATTAATTTAAAGACTGTCATATAATCTTAAAGGTTCTTTTGGGGAAATTTCTTGCAGTCCTGCAAAATGTGTCACTGTTAGTGCCTATTCTGAGGGTAAAAGGGGAGTGTGTGATTTTGACAATTTCTTTCCTCTTTATACAGATCCTTTCGTATGTCTGTGGGTTCCTTGCTGGCCCCAGACACCGTTGAAAAGAGGGGCTTGCTCCGGAGACCAAAAACCCGCAAGGCTGTTGACTTACAAGTGTTTGAAGGCAAAGTGGAACAGAACATGCTGAACAGCAAAGGTTTCTTTTTGTTGTTGTTACTGTTGTGTTGTTATTTCTCTCTTGGGAAGCAGGGCCTTATGTTGAAGGGGCTTTTAGAAGCGTTTACTGAAGGATGGTCTGTATTTTAGAATATAAAATTTACTAACAGATTCAAAGAACTAGAATGGGATTTGGGAAGAAAGATTAATTAGAATGAGGTTCTGCCTCGGCAGTTCCTTTGATTCTGTGCGCATAAATACGTACTTTGTCCACTTTGGTCATTTAAACCACAGGAATTATTTGGGATCATCTTCATCTGTGGGTACTGAGATTTCTATGGGCTTGGTGGGGAGTGTTGTGGGCACAGAAGTGGGGTCATACAGTTTCTCAGTGTTTGATCTGTTGAAGAGGAGTAAAATTTGGTTGAATAACATAAATTGTGAATTACACAAGTCTTGATTGTAAAGTATGTCCCTATGACCTTGAAAAGTTTTTCACATAGTTTGTTTTAAAACTTTCTCAACAGGACAGAACTATCTTGTGGACTCACAGTCTATATCTGGGATTCGAACAAGCATCCTGACAAGTGATGCAGAAATGATGATGAATACCACGGAGCTCTTTGTTCAGCCCCAACTGGATGAACAGAACCAAAATAAATTTTCTGCTCTTGAGCCCCAGCAGTCAGATTCAAAAACTACAGCACAGAGGAGCCTGATTTCTGATGGTGATCAAGAAGAAGAAAGGCTGGAGGGCCTGGTATCCGATGTAAGAACAAACGAGGGAAGGACCCAAAGAGACTCCAAGAGCTCAAGCCTTCATGATGAGCATGTTGACAGAATGACTCACATATCTCCAGAAACCCGTGCAAAGCAGCAAGAAGAAAAGCAAGATCAGTCCCCACAGAGCAACCCAATGGCACAGATTTCTTTTTCTGAAGAAGAGGTGGCTGGCAGTGAGTACTATGGGCTAAGAGTTAGGCTTAGCAGGTATATGCTTTGCAATTCCTATCATTTGCCAGTTTTTCCCTGATACCTCTCCTTGGCATTCATTTGCCTGGCCTTGTCCTGGTTGTCCCAAGGCCAAGGCCACTCTTGTACTTTTTAGCGTGAAAACTCCCAATCACTGGAGAGAATGGTAAAAGTGCAGTTTGACAGCTTTTGGTTCTGGACTCAGCCAAGATTTCCAAACCCTTCAGCAAGTGACAGCATTATGAGAGTGCCCAATTGTGCCAAAGTAACTACCTGTGTGGGTTTCTGCTTAACTGAGCTACATAGTAACAGATATGTGGACTATATATGTAGTATAAAGGAAAAAAAGAATACTTTAGTAGTCAGTAGCTCAGAAGTTTTAAACACGAACAAGTCATGTGTCTTGTCATGTGTATTTCTTATTCTGCCTGCCAGAGGTTTCTCCTGGATGGTTAAAACCACTTTAGGCTGTCTTCTCTCTATAAGGGAATATATCTCTTACAAAATTATTTATTCAGAAAAATGGAGGAAATGAAGAGGAGAATCTGAGCACAAACTCCACATATTGTTAGATTTAAAGGAAAAGAAACTGGTCTTTTACACAGTCACCAAAATTGAAAATGGCCATAGAGATGCCAGATCTGGAGGAGCTTTACTTACTGTAAGTAAAATTCCTTCATTGGGATCTGATGTGCCCCTAATTAGGTGGCTGTGGAGGAAACACAGGAAAAGTTGGGCATTTCTCAGCTCTAGAGGGAGCTGCATCTGCTTTTCTTGTTTACTTCTGTGTCTGAGTTTATTTATCACAAATACATTCCAGTATTTAATGGTTAAACTGTGTGCTGGTGGTTGCTTGGGATTTTTTTGTAGGTAAGATGTATGATAGAATTTCTTATTTTAGCTCCAGAACATGGTCCAAGTGCTGGATATTCTGAACATTTGGAGAAGAAGCTGGCTGAAAAAGCAGAATTGCAGATAACTACAGCACAGGACAGCAGAGGTGAAACAGAAATGGCTTCTTCAGCAGCAGAGGAACTGGCAGAAGGCAGCGTTGGAGCCCACGGCTCTCCAGGAGCTGGTGAGAACACCTCTAATGCTGACAGCTCTCTGTAGTGCCAAAGTGCTCTCATGCTGCATCACTGCTATCAGTGCTGAGAGAAACTTAACTTCCGGTGTTTTCTAGAATCTGGGCTAATTACTGGGCAGATACCAAACCAATTTTGTCATTTTAAGCTGGAAGACTGCATTTTATTTAAAGAGAAACCAAAATTGTACTGGCAGTAGGGTTTACAAATGTATAGTTACAGCAGGTATCTTTGATGAAAATTTACTAGTGGAAGTTCCAGAATCAAGCAAAGGTATTTGTTTCAGTGCTTTCTTTTGCCTGTTTTGAAAATTTAGAACATAAGATTACCAATGGCATTGGAGCTGAAGGACTGGACAGGAACTCTCATGCCTTTTCCTCATTTGATAAACGTGGGATGATTTTGTTAGATGAAACTGATGAACAAGGAGATGAACTACAAGACCAGGCTATCATGCTAGATTTGAATAGTTCAGTGGAAGAGCCTGCTCAGGATGAAGCTGAACAGCCTGCTAGTGGAGGTAAGGAAGCTGCTCAGCATTTCTCTTAACATTGTTTTCTTTCCTGCTCTCACTTGTTAAGAAATGAAGAAGTTCAAGAGTGAAGTTAAAGACAATGCAGATTAGACTTGGAGGAAATGGGTTCATAGCAGAGAAGAGGTGAGATTCTGATAATAGGAGCCTTGCCTGGAGGGAGTTATGGAAATCTGCAAACAGGGAGAAGTTTGTAGTCTGGCCCTTGTAATGTGATTCTGTAGCTCAGCTTGTCCCTTTGTTTATGACAATTTCCCCCATGGATGATCAAGATGACAGAGATACCTTGTAGACTTTGAAGTTCTCTCTGGTTAAAAAGGTTGCAGCTTTGTGGCAACCTGAGTTAACCCAGCCTTTGGCCCCTGCAGCCTGGTCTTGTGTGTGTGTCCCTGCAGCCTGCCCAGCCAGCTGGGCCAGCAGGGGCCATGGGGAGCCCCCAGCCTGTGTGGCAGGAGCTGTGGGGGGTGGCATTGCAGCAGCCAGCAGCTGTGCTGGCTCAGGGTGCTGTGGAGACACAGGCAGTGTCACCAGGGCCAGGCATGTGGGGAGTTGTCTGGGTTTCTGTCTGCTGCCTGCTCCAGGAGTTCTGGAAAGAGACTTCAGTTCCTCAAGTACGTTTTTTTTCCAGAGGCTTCCATGAAGACTCCTTTGTTTGTCCGTGCTCCAGCCAAAAACCTCCTGCTGTCAATGCCACATGTTGAAAAAGTTGCTGCTCCCAGGTAAGCCTAAGCCACGTCCAGCAGTGGCCTGGCAGAAGTGAGGCTGGGGGCAGAGCAGAGCCTGGCTTTGCCAGCTGCTCTGGCAGCTGCCACAGGGAGTGAGCAGTACTGAAGTCTTTGGTTCTTTCACTGCTGTAGCAGCTGAGTGAAGAGTGAATTGAATGAATGTCAGTGATCTTCCAGAGGGGGTCTGATGCCTTAAGGCTTTCAAATGAATGTTCTTGTAATATGTTCTTGTGCTGAAGACCAAAACTTTTCCTAGGAGTTTTTCAATTGGTAAGCCACTCTGGAGCCAGAGACTCCAGCATGGGATGTACAGGCCCTTGCAGAGGAGGGGGAATTAGGGATGGCAAGACACTGATCAAATGGAATGACATACTTGTATTTACTGCAGAAGCCTAAAGCTGTGTGCAGTTGCCATGGGCTGACTTAAAAGAAGCTCTCCTAGAGGCAGAAAGTGAACCTGTCCTCTGCATTACTCCAAATTATTTAACACTTGCACTCTCTTGATTAGAAATTTGGTGAAGCCACATGCTTCATCAGAGCCACTAGTGATGAGTCCTAGGGAACAGGAAGAGTTTTCTAGCCCATGACTTTAGAGCTTTGTCTATTAAAGCAATAAACAAGAAGACAAAATTCTTGTGCCCACGTATGGCACATGTGGACTGGAGAGATTCAAGTGGTCCACACATCCTCTCTGGGCGTTTGGCATGTGTTAGCCTGAGGTTCTAGTTTTTTTCTGTTGTTTTCCAGTTATGTACTGAGTGAATCCATGGATTTCACTTAACTCTTCCATATTGCAATTTTTCCTATTTTAGGATGGAAGACAATTGTAATTTCCTTTAGGACTTAGAGTTTTGTTTTAAGGGGGGTGGACCCCACAGCCCACAAGAAAAGTCCCCATTGAAGTTCTTAATAGTGTAGAATGATTCCCTGCAACGCAGCTTCCCCTGTCCACAGATGCAGAGGTGTTCTGTGGTGCCTCAAACTTTGTGCACTGCTGGAAAGGGAACACTGCAGGGATGCAGTGGAAACTGCAGTCTTGTATTGGAGAGAACTCCAATACATCTTTGTTGACAGTGTGGTACATGAGCACTCTGGAATCAAGGGAACTTGAGCCTGGATTGCTTCTCTTGAGGCCAGGATGTCACATGAACTGTTTTGCCCTGTGTGGGCATGAGAGTTTTGAAGAATTGGGAGGGAGAAAGAATGAAAGTTCAAGGTAGTTCTTATCCCTTCCAGTTCAGCTTAGGGTTTCTCCAAACTCAGTCTGGTGTTCTTTGCCTCTCCCTTGTTCATTCAATGTATGAATTTTCAATTCCCTCAAAGGTCTCCCCAGCAGCTGCTGCAGCCCAAGACAGTTCCAAAGAGATTGGGACCACCTCAGAGGAAACCACGTGAGCCTCAAATACCAGGGAGTTTGATAAAGGAGATATTCAGACATTTTGCTAAAATGCCAGTGACCAAAGAGGCATTCAAAATTGTTGAAAAATGGTACGTAGCAACAAATTGCTCTTTCCATTATTTTTAGTGTTGAGGTTTTTTTTTCCTTTCTTTCCTCTTCTGAAGTAATAAACCTGTTGGGAGTGCTGCTGACAAGCTGACAGCCCTCTCTCTTCAGCTGGAAAGAGTCTTAGGAGGCCATAAAAATGGGCAGAAATGTGCAAAGTGCTTTGGGCTTCTCTGTGGGTATCTGATCAGTGCAGCCTTGCAGGAGCATCTGGTTTTTGTCCCAACAAGTTGTAGCAGTCAGAGTCTTGCCATTATCAATTTCCATGGTCAGGATGGCTCTGGACAATGGTCATCATGCAGGGCACAGTGAGGTGTGCAGCATTCCATTGGATTCCAGGTTTCTCAGATTTTTGAATCCTTAGACCTTGTTACCTTCATGAGTAAAATCTGTGTGTTGTTTGAACAGATGCAGATATCACTGCAGCAGCCAGTATCTGACCCTCCATGCTGATTTCTCTGTCACTGGTGTCAACTCTGTTCTGCATGGTTGGGAAGTTTGGGAAAGGTTCTGGTTGTCAGATGTGCAGCTGTTTGACAGCTGTCTTGGCAGTGAAGTTCCAGGGAGCCTGGGCTGAGAAGCCAAGCTTTGTTCAAGGGCAGGAGAGTTTCTTCTCCCCTAGCTTTCCCTAGCAGGCTGTGACCTGCACAGCTCTTGTGCAACTTACCCTGCAGAAGTGGGTGAGTAGCTGGTGTTCACATGCTTCACAGTCTGATTTGATTTCCCCCCTCAGCTCTGAGAGATACTTCAAGCAGCTGAGCAGTGATCTGGAAGCTTACACCCACCATGCAGGGAGGAAGACAGTGGAGGCAGCCGACCTGGAAGTCCTCATGAGGAGGTAATGGAAGGGTTGTTACAGTAGTGTTTGGTGGTGCTTTGATAGCCCAGTAATGCCTGGTTGTTGCCAGAATGTGCACCAGCAGTGTTTGCACAGTAAGTGTGGGAAAATGGAGAAGTTTCAAATGTGGTGTTAAAGTCACCTGGGGGATAGTACAAGGCACAGCTGATGATACTGGCTTTGCATGGGCCTCTGTAGGTGAGCTGGTGTTGCTGCTTAAAAAGAATAATCTGTTGCTGTCCTAATGCAGAGATTTCATTTTCCCACCTGACAGGTGTGTGCTGAGGTTGGTAGGAACAGGCCAGGAGGCACGATTGTTTAGTTGCCCTGGTTTGAGAATTCCATGTACTTGTTGTTTCACCTTGTTCCAGATGTCTTTATGCCTTTTTACTGCCTCACAATGAGATCAGGAATTGTTGCTGGCTCATGCATAAGAACAGCATTTCTGTTCCTTCCACATGGAAAGTGTGACTAAATGTTGCACTTTCTTTCTTTCTACAAAACTGATGCTGATTTTTTCAGGCCAGTCAGTTGAATGGTGCACAGGAAAACTCCATGGCCTACACAGCTGGCAAATGCCAATCACCTCTGAGCTGTGACTGTAAAAAAATCTGGGTATTGAGCTATTTCCCATTGTCACATCAAAGGGCCGAATTTATCCCGTGGTAGGCGGTGGATTGTGAATTTAAAAAGCAATGAGCCTCTACTTTGAACCTGATCAATATAGATTAATATCCCCATGGTAAACAGTGGGAGGCTCTGTGGGAAGCTGCTGTGCAGGAACCCCCCGGGTCTGCTCTGCTGTGTGGGCAGTCCTGGCATTGCAGTGTGCACAGGAGCTGAGAAGCTGCCTGCAAACACGAGTCTGGAGCTGTTTGTCACAAGCAGACAGGGCATTTCAGCTCTTAAATGCAAAAACCTTAGTGCAAGAAAACCATACTCTGGTATCGAATGGAAACACATTTCATTAACAACTCTTGTTACTTCTCTGCTCTCTTTTTGGACAAAGGCAAGGGCTGGTGACAGACAAGATGCCACTGAATGTGCTGATAGAGCGTTACCTCCCTCTGGAGTACCGGAAGCTCCTGATTCCAATTGCAGTGAGTGGAAATAAAGTGATCCCTTTCAAGTGAAGCTGCAGGGATGGCCCCTGGGGGTGGAAGGTGGCCTGCTCCCAGGGGCTGGCTGTGGGCTGTTCCATGTCACTGCTCCAGGTGATGCTTTTCCACAACTAACCAGTCAGGTGACAACTGCTGGATGTTCTGAGTGGAGGCAGATTGTGCTGTGGCCACCACACCACCCTGCTGGCTCTCACCAGCCTTTGTTACAAGTAATTTGGCTATCCATATTTTTGTTCATTACCTTTTAATACTTGTACAATTCTTATAAATAAAATGTTACATGTGTTTTGTGTGATGCCGATGCTGCTTATGTCAGTGAGCTGAGAGGCTCCTGCATTGTGGTGTTCAAAATGTTCCTGTCAGGCATTTAGCTGTGTTGGTGCTCTGTGTTTGGCACGCCTGTGTGGTTTCTGTGGCTCTGCTCCCAGTGGGAGCCATGGTGTCCCTGTACAGACAGTTGCTGCATGAAGGAGCTGGTCCATGCGGTGCTCCTCACCCAGGGAAACAAAGCAGAACTTCTGTGTGTGACTGTACTGCTTCCAGGGAGCTTAAACAACACTAGGAATGAGATCTGGCACAGCAAAGGGTGCCAAGAAAGAATAATGCCTGTCACAGGTACCAGTTTCAGAGGGATGGAGATGGATATTGAACTTGCTCTTCAGTGTCCTTCTGGGGAGTCAGTGTGACACAAGTTGTTTCTCCCCATCCTGAGGCTGTCCTAAATCCTGCTGCAGGTATGGATCCTCCTCTCTGGGTTATGCTGTGTGTGCAGTACAGCTTCCTCAAACTACAGCCGAATGGTACAATTCATAGGGAATCCTGGAAATCCAGCCTAGCTCTTGGCAGCAGCACTTGGAAGTTTAACAGGTTTTGCAGAACACTAAAGGACATAAGGGCCAATAGAGTTAAAATCTCTTCAGCAGCCAATGCCAATCTGAAGAGCAGGCGTTTTTCAAGGATTTATTTTTAAACATAATTCCATTAATACAACAAAGAGCATTTTTTTTCTGATACAGTGTGACTGAATGGTCCTTTGAGAAGCTTTGCTGGGAGCAGTGTCTGCATGTCCTTCATGGATGGGATTTCCCTCTCTAGTGTGTGTCAGAGTTCACATCTCACAAGAAGCTGCAGCTTCCCAAGAGGAGGAATGGGAGGGGACAGTGCTTTGCAGCTGCTGCCTGTCACACTACTGGGCTGCCACTGGATTTGGATGTTCCACGGGAATTCTTCAACTCACTGTAGCCTTTTCCTTACACTGGGTGTGTTCCAGTTGATACCTGTTTGGCAGTCTGGAGTCTCAAAGGCTGTAACTTTCTGTATCAAACTGGTCTGTATGGATATCTAAATATATATATTGTAACTGTATATGTAATCTAAATATAACAAGTCTAAATCTGTAACTATGTAAACATTCTCTCAAGTAAGGGAAGATCATTCTGTCAAGATCACCTTGTGTCAGACCTGTAACTTCAGCTGCAGAGGAAGAGACTGCAGCTCTTGCCTTAAGTAGGTCTCCAGTTGCTCCGACAATCATGGCTTTGGAATGATGACAAGGGCCTGTTTATTGCTATGGAGACATGGAAAAAGAATGGAAACATGGAATTATGTGTGTCATAGACAGAAGAATGAACTCATAAGTCTGCTCAAGGATCTTGTTTTTCTTCCTGCTGGCCGTGGTTTCACGGCAGGAGTTTTGTAGTGTACTGTCAAGGCGTAATTGTATTGAAAAACATACATAAATGTAAACAAAGACTGTGTAGCCATCTGCATCCAACTGAGAACCAAAGGAGCCTTTGTGAGCAGCAGCCGGTCAGCCGGGATCCCTCATCCGTGCGCTCGCAGCCCAGAGCCGCCGGTTGTTCCCGTTGCTGGGGTTTGCCGGAGCCCCCGTGGCTCCGCTCGCTTCCTTCTTCAGCCCCGGCCCGCCATGGCGCGCGCGCTCCGTT